AGGTGCACTGGATGACGCCCAACCAACTGAGCTAGATTTTTTTAAGAGCAATTAGAAGTCACTGAGATGCAGGGGGAGGAGACTGGGGATGCAGGAATCACATTTGCATTTTGAAAGGTCACTCTGGCTGCAGTGTGAACATCTTAGAAAGTAATTTCTGCTTTGCAAATCCAATAAGCAGGCTTACTATTCAGTTACAGGAAACAGGAGCTGGAGTCTTACAGCCAGATCTGAGTTTGAATCCCAGGTTCATTTCCACCATGGCCTTGGGCAAGCCAGCCTTTTAGAGCCCAGTTAGCTCAAATATAAAATGGGATGATAATACCTCCTTCTGTCTTGTTGTGAGGGTGAGGTAATTAAAGTTAATAAGTAATCTTGCTTGACACAAAACTCTACTTGGGATTTTCAAACCCACTTTGATATTATACCGCATGAAACAACCAAAATTCAGGTCATATGGCCTTTCAGCTCTGCTTGACTTCATTTGAACTTCACCTTAGAAATACCTTCTCCCACTTCTTTGAAATAAGAGCAACACAATAATAAAGCAACTGCTTGTACAAGGTGCTGCAGTCATGCCTCCTGGTTTGGGCATTTATCAGATGACAAGACCATGGAGAGGTGAATAAGCCAAAAACATACAAATGCGAGCTTTGTAAGTATAAAAACAAAGAAGCAAGCTATTGGCTGTTTGATCAGTGGATGTGTTGGTGATGAATAAGTGACTGCCAGTATCTTATATTTAGCCAGAGTGGGGCTGGTAGTTCAGTCTAGAATTGGACATTTCTCATTTCCTAAATAGCCCAGGGCCCTGCTACAGTGATATTCCAGTTGATGGTAAGTCAAGAGTGTTGCCCAAAAGACTCAAGAGTCAACCTTAAGAGGCTCTTGTTGGCCAGTGATAAGACAATATGAGCACAAAGGATATGAAACACATCAAAATGGGTTGAAATTCTTGAGTTTATAATGACACTGAAAAAAAAAAAATGGTAATCACTATTGCAAGGTGATACGAAACCAATATGAAACCTGTATTCTAATCCTACTTTCCCATTAACCAGCTGAGTGACCTGGAAACTTCCCAGACAGGGTTTCTAACATCCTACAGGCTGTGGATTCTTACAATGATTAAGAGATTTGGGTCCTGCAGCCTGACTGTCTGGGTTGGAATCTTAGTTATCCCATATGTATCCTTGGGATATACATTGAGTGGCCAGATTATTATGATCTCTGAACACATAATAATCTGGCCACTCACTCTATGTGTCTGTGTGTCTATGTGTCTCTCTCTCTCTCTGTGTATATATATATATATATATATATATATATATATATATTTTTAGCTGTCCCAGCCACACATTGCTGTGGCTCAGTCTGATTAAATGGAAAAGAAAGAAAAGAGAAAGTGCATGTTTCTAATATGTTTATTTTCACAATACTTGTAAGCATACAATATTTTTTCATTGTCTGTGCAGATACAGAGATTGTCTGGTTTGTCGACACTAGAACACTTAACACATAGTTGTCCTTGTGAGACCGCACAATTCTAAAGATTGGCCCTGAGCTTTGTTGATGGTGATTGCAAACGCCAATCGAATGGGGAATTGCAATCTCTTAAATTGAAATGGCATATCTGTTGGAATCTTAGGAATGCAAGGAATGAGGACATCTTCACCTTTGAAAGGTCCTTTAAAGATTGTTGCTTCTATGACGTTGCTCATTAATTTTTGTACTGCAAGCCACATGCCGTTGCAAAGCATTGGCTGGTTGATTTTCGCAACATGATAATTGGCACGCTGATTTCCAATTGCAGTACGTGCAATGGCATCTCTGGCAGATGAAGTGAATTCAAAAATTCTGTTGGATAATTAACCGCTTTATCTGCTTCCACAACAGTGTCGATGGACTTGTATGCGACTGCCTCGCTTTGAATGTTAGACTGAATAATATTGTTAAGTTCATAGACATCTTTGTTCTTGGCTGCAAGAATAGCTCATTCACTCAGCCAATCGTGATTCGTTTGAATATTAGGAAATATTGTTTCAACCAATTCTTCTTTTGACGTCACTAAATTGCAGAAGTTATGAGGCAATGAAATTTGTCCTGAGGTCAGATCAACCGACACCTTTCTGTTCCCAATTTCCCCGCAATCCATGTGAGAATATCTCAGCTGATCGATCATTTTGCAGCTGGACACCCATATTTGTAGTTAATTTTTACATCTTTATGTGTTGCCACAGAGTATTTCAGGCAAGCATTTATTTTGTCCGCTGGTGTGGATCGAGGAATTACAGGTAATGTTTGCCTGAAATCTCTTGCAAGCAATATTAATGCATTCCCAAAGGGTCTGATGTTTCCACGCAAATCTTGCAATGATCGATCAAGAGCCTCGAGCGATTTTTTTGTGCACCATTGTGCATTCATCCCAAACAATAAGTTTGCATTTCTGCAATACCTTTGCCTTGCCAAATGCTTTGGAAATGTTAAATGTGGGAGTTTCAATGAATTGCATGTTCAATGGCAATTTCAAAGCAGAATGAGTTCTTCCACCTGGTAGCAATGTTACAGCTATTCGGGACAACACAAGAGCTAAGGCTATGTCATTTTGGGATTGAATTGCTGCCAGAATCAATCTAATTAGGAACATTTTACCAGTTCCTCTTGGCACATCTAAGAAGACAATTTCTCCAACCCCGCTATTGACAGTTTGCTTTACTTGATCATAAATGCCTTTTTGCTCAAGTGTTAGCTTAGGATTATTTGATTGCATACACGACAAAAGATCACTCATGTTGTAATTTTGTTCATGACACAATTCTACATCTAACAAAGCAGCAGCAGATCGATTCAGTGATGGAATTCTCAATTGATTGAGAACTTTGTTTGCGATTTCTAAGCACAAACTTCAATCATTATCAACATTGAAATGGAGTTGTAAAATTGGAAATTTGGAAATTGTAAATGGATCGTAAATCAGAAACATTGAAATGGAATCGTAAAATATTTAGTATAGCGTGTGTTGCTTTTACATCTAACAGATGGCGCCATTTTTCAAAAAAGCATGTTTTTACCTGTCACAGGTGTGACATCTATATAATAGTAGGTATAAAGTATATAAAAACACATGTGTGTTTGAATGCAATGTTGTCTCAAAATTTCAAAGCAATCAGTGAAGAACTTTCTGAGATTTAAGATTTTGAACAAATGAACATTTACATTTTTATTTATATAACATAGAGACCCAGAGACCCAGTGCATGAATTCGTGCATAGGTGGTGTCTGGCCAGCCTGGTCAGAGGGAGGGGACAATGGGCGGTTGGCTGGCCTGCCTGCTGGTCAAATTCCTGGTCGAGGAGACAATTTGCATATTAGCCTTTTATTATTTAGGAGGATATACACTGAGTGGCCAGATTATTATACGTTCAGAGATCATAACAATCTGGCCACTCAGTGTATATCTGGATTTTGTAAAGCGTAACGAATGCTTACTTTAAAGGGTTCCTGTACTGGATGCAATCTGTAAACATTGAACACATAGCCTCTGGCTCAGTGTGGGTGAGCTGTTTGGAGCCTAAAGGTAGATTTCCAGATAACACATAGTACAAATAAGAAGCAGGGTTTCAAATAGCTAGAAGTGTGAAGAAAACACCTCACAGCAAATTTATGGAGAGTAACTTTCCAGGAAGGTGGGCTGCAACCTTAAATCGGTTGACTGGGCTGAGGGTAGTTGCCTGCCTTGGAGGCAGGCGTGATGCAACCTTCCAAGTGATTCTCAGCTGATTCCATCTTCCTCTCCCATGGTTCCCCATTTGGCAATGTCCTGGGGTTTTGGGTTGCCACAACTGTGGGAGAGGTCCTTCAGGCATCTAGTGGGTAAAGGCCAGAGCTGCTGCTCAGTATTCTACAATGCATAGACCTCCCACACATCAAAAATGACCCAGCTCAAATGTCAATAGTGGCAAGTTTAGAAACCCTGATATAGAGAGAACAGCAAGGGTAAGGGTTCTGAGCCAGAAGGGAGTTTGCTGAGGTCAGGGTGCAGGTGGAACTCCAGTGTAGATGAGTTAACCAGGAGGAAGTGATGGAGGTTGGGCTAGAATGCTTTTTAGGGCACAGTGTGGACCCTGGAATTATCTCCAAAGCAGTGAGCAGCTTTTGAAGAGTTTTAAGTAGGGGAGGAAGGTAACCCATGTAATGCACAATGTATATCTAAGAACTTAAATACATATATATATTTATATATACATATATATGTATATATACATACACACACACACACACACACACACACACACACATATATATATATATATATATATATATATATATATATATATATATATAATTGATTTCAGAGAGGAAAAGAGAAGGAAAAACATCAATGATTAGAATCATTGGTTGGCTGTATCCTGCACGCTCCCTACTGGGGATCGAGCCCACAACCCCGGCATGTATCCTTGACCGGAATCGAACCCAGAATCCTTCAAGTCTGCAGGCGGATGCTCTATCCACTGAGCCGGACCGGCTAAGGCAAATAACTGGGTATTATCATCATCCCTTGTGTATGGCTCCCTGCTTGGCCCCAGCCAGAATCCGGGTCTCAGCGTGGCCGCAGTGACTCCTCCTGGCCAGCAGGGGGCGCCAGCCGCACTTGGCGTCCGGCCGCTCGGGGCGGGCCTCCTCTTGCCGTCCCCCTCTCTCTCGTCTTCTCCCTTCTGGAGAAGTCGGGAAGGTGGCAGCGGCGGCGGCGGCTGCGGCGGTTGTCCCGGCCGGGCCGGTTGGTGTGGCCGCTCAGTCCTCGCTCCTCAGCGCCCGCGCCGCGCCCAGCCCCGTGGACTCGGGCGGCGGCGGCGGCGGCGGCGGCGGCGGGCGGCCCGGTGCGCGGCGCGCGCTGCCGGAGGGCGGCGGCCGCGGCCAGGGCGGCCCGTGGGAGCGCGGGGCCCCGGCGCAGCGCCGCCCGGCTCCCGGCCCTGCCGGCCTGCTCCCCGGGCGCCGCGGCCATGGCGGCCAGCGCCAAGCGGAAGCAGGAGGAGAAGCACCTGAAGATGCTGCGGGACATGACCGGCCTCCCGCACAACCGAAAGTGCTTCGACTGCGACCAGCGCGGCCCCACCTACGTGAACATGACGGTGGGCTCCTTCGTCTGTACCTCCTGCTCCGGCAGCCTGTGAGTGGGGCGGCGGCGGCGGCGGCGGCGTGGGGAGGCCCGCCGGGCCGGGGCGGGGGCTCCGGGCGGCCGGGGCGGCCGTTGGGGCGCGGGCGGGCGGCCGCTGGGATGCGCTCGGCCCCGGCTCCGGGCCGGGAGGAGCTTTCGCTTTCGCCGGGCGGGGGTCCCGGCTGGTGCAGCCTCCGGGCTTGGGGGTGGGCGGGCTGCGGGGCGGAGGACGGGGCGCCCGGGGCGAGCATGTCCGGGGCCGGGCCCCTGGGGGTGCTGGCCGGGCCGCGGCGGCGGGGGGAGGCCGGGGAGAGGAGCCGGAGCCGGCGTGCTGGTCCCGAGTGCCCCGCCCCTCGGCCGCCGGCCCGGCGAGGCACCTGCAGGGCCGCCGGGGTGGGTTGTGGGTGGGGAGCCGGGGTGGGAGCGGCAGGCCGTGGGGGGGGGGGGATCCCTTTCCCCCCGCGGGTCCAAAGCCCACGGGTCCCTGGGGGAAGGCTGGCACTTGGATAGGAATAGTCACGAGGTTCAAACGTCCCGATGGCCCGGGCGCGGGCCCCCTGGGAGAAGTTGGGGAGGCTTATTTCGGGCGAGGGGCGAGAGAGCAGCCGATGCGAGGTGGAAGGGGTTGGCTGGAGCGTCAGGGTCCAAAGAGCGTCCCGGGGAGTTCGGGGCAAGTTTCGATGGAAGAAGGCATTGGCCCCGAGCTGTGTCCTTGCAGACCCGGTGGTGGGATCCGCGCGGCTTCCCTGCCGAGGCCCGAGAGTCCCGGCCGGGACCGGGACCGGGGAGGCGGAGAGGGACCTTGTGGCAGAACCGCGGAGGCCACCGTTTGGACCCGGGTGGCATTGGTTTATCTTTGCTTCAGTAAGCTTTATTTTGGTAAGGTTTTTTTTTTTGTTGTTGTTGCTGGGAAATTCCTTTTTGGAAAAGTGTGCAGATGGTTTGGGAACTGATCAGTTGCTTTTAGGCAGCAATTACGTATAGATTCAAAGTTAAGTTCATGGATGGAGTAGGGCTTACTAAATACTAAGAGTCCCAAAACACCTCGTTTTTTCATTTGTACTGTCCTTCCAAGTAGTTTGGTTACTCCCCTCTCTCCAACTTACACACACACACACACACACACACAACCTTTGTAATATTAATACCGAGACAAAGTACATGGCATATGAGAAAACATATTTGGAAAATGCAGGACTTGTCCTGTAGTGTACGATTTACTTTTTTTTTTTTTTTTTTTTTAAGTTGGGCACAAAGAGGCATTATTAGTCTTCCAAGACTGTTATTTCTTCAACCATTTACTGGTGCCTTCCTAGGCTCTGTGTGAAGGTGTGGGGTGTTATAAATATAACAAAATTCTTGTTCTTTTGGTGCTTACATTCTAGTGGGGGAAATGGTAATTAGATGAGAAAAATGTCAGGGGTTAGTATGCACTAAAGTAGTATGATAGGAGAGACCTCCTCTGAGAGTTACTTTTAGGTTGTAGTCAGGGGAGCACTGAGAATTTGAGAAGTAGTGATATTACTGAATCACCCCAGCATGGGAGAGCTAGGGTGGTATCTGAGATTGTCTGGTTCATGATTGTCACTTGCAAATAGTTAAGTGATTTATGCTGGGCAACTTTGGTTCTAAAAATGAAGTCAGTAGTCCAATTTTTTAAGTGTATTTGACATTTATTATGTGCATAAGTATGTCTTTTACTAAACACAAGGTCCCTTGATATATATATATATATATATATATATATATATATATATATATATATATTTAAAAAGGAAAGATTTAAAAAATATATATATTTTATTGATTTTTTACAGAGAGGAAGGGAGAGAGAGAGAGAGCTAGAAATGTCGATGAGAGAGAAACATCGACCAGCTGCCTCTTGCATACCCCCCACCAGGGATGTGCCCACAACCAACATACATGCCCCTGACCGGAATCAAACCTGGGACCTTTCAGTCCGCAGACCGACGCTCTACCACTGAGCCAAACCGGTTTTGGCAGGTACCTTGATATATTTTAAGTATTTGGTTTGAAAAATATATGTATTTACTCTTCTGGATTTTGACATTTCTTTGTAGCCCTTTATAAGTATAGTGGGGAACATTTAATTTATTGCAGCGAATGCATAAAATCAAGAAGTATTTATAAATTTCTTTCTAGATTCCATGTCTCAGAAACATTCTATATAAAAGTATACATCAGTGTAATGATAATTGCTTATTTTATTTTTATTATTATTTTTAATACATTTTATTGATTTTTTTTTTACAGAGAGGAAAGGAGAGGGACAGAGAGTTAGAAACATCGATGAGAGAGAATCATCGATCAGCTGCCTCTTGCACACCCCTCCTGGGGATGTGCGGGCAACCCAGGTACATGCCCTTGACCGTAATTGAACCCAGGACCCTTCAGTCTGCAGACGGATGCTCTATCCACTGAGCCAAACAGGTTTCGGCACAACTGCTTATTTTAGTGGGGTTTAATCCATAATAGATAGTGCTTCAGATCTGTGTTTAGTGTTGATTCCAAACCTATTTATTGGACACTTGGCCTGTGTCAGACATTGTGGGAGGCTTTGGTGTTAGGTGGATCCTACTAGCCTTAAGGGGCTTGCATCCTAAGTATATACGTTTAGTTATAATACGTTATAACATTTCCTTTTTTTGAATGAGCTACTCATGAAATATGTAAGTGATAGAGAAAATTTCATAGAGGACTTGATGCTTGAGCAAGATCCATTGGATTTGGTCCATGGAGTTGATAGATCAGGTATTGATGAGCTATATAAACCTGGTTTTGAATCCTAGCTCCACTACTAGCTATGTGGTATAGAGAATGCCACTCAGTCTCTTTGAACTTGAGTTTCCTCATCTATGAAATAGTTTGCCCTGTAGGTTTTGGACGTAGATTAGGTTTCAACATTTGAGATAATGTGTCTAACATTTCATACAATCTCTAGTTCATGATAGATGCTCACTAAATGAGAAGCATTGTTAACAAGGTGGAGAGGAAATTTCCCAGGTAGGAAACAATATCTGAAAGACATCAAAATGAGAATAACTTTATAAAAATCAGTTTTGACTTTTTAGATATAACTCAGATTGGTTTAAAAATATGAAGGGGATTATTGTTGGGTTTTAAGTAAGACTTTATCCAATGACTTAATGAGGGTGCCTAGATTTCCCTCGTCCAAAGATGGCTGCCTCGAGCTCCCGAAGCTGCAAACTGTCCTTCTGGTCCGGACATTCTGCAGTTCTCTCCTGGTTAGCTTGAACAAGTGCCTTTATCGGACATCTGTTCTAAGCTGACTTCATTGGAACTACGAGGATCCCCAAATAGAATTCCCAAGTCAGAAATCTGGTATTCTTGGGAAGGAGGGAATGGATGCTGGATCAAATGTCTACTGCAGAAATATTGAAGGGACAGTAAGTTTCTGAGGATTTTTTTTCCTTTCAAAATCAATAATGCAGGAAAATTTAAGGGTAACATAACTATTGAATTTAATAATAATTAAATATTTATTATTTAGATGACTAGGCATAATTGAAAGAATGTGAATTTTGAAGTCAGATTTCTTACACCTCTGCTAGCTTTATGACTTAGGGCAAGTATTAACCAGGCCATAATATCTGTAAATTGGCCTGGAGCCATCTCTCAGCCTCAGTTTCTTCATTTGTGGTAACAAGGTGATAGAAAGTTGCTATGAGGATGAAATGGTACAATTCTTAAAATATTCATTGAACACATACTAAATGTGAGGGCACTGCTTAAATAGTAGATATAAAATAGGGGTGGGCAAAAGACGGATACTATATGGGAAATCCTATAAAATAAAAGGCTAATAATAGGCTAATATACAAGTTGACCGAACAGTGGAAGGACTGGTCGCTGACACACACTGACATCCAGGAGGAAGACACTCAATGCAGGGTTGGGGAGCACTGCTCAGCCAGAAGCTGGGCTCATGACTGGTGAACACAGCAAGTGGTGGGAGCCCCTCCCATCTCCACGGCAGTCAGACTGGGCTGAGGGATGTCCACCAGGCCTTTAGTAGTACAATTACCCTATCTAATAAAAGAGTAACATGCAAATTAACCGTCACCCCACCACACCCACCAGCCACACCCACAAGCCAATCAGGAGTGTGTATGCAAATTAACTCAACAAAGATGGATACGGCCATGGAGAGAGCAGGAGGGAGGCTTGGGTTTCCCTGGCTATGGAGGAAGCCAAGCTTTTCACACACCCTGGCCGGGCCAGGCTTCCGCTTAAGGCTACAAAGCTGCAATTATTGAAGATAAATAAATCGCAACAAAAGTAGCAGCAACCACGGACCTAGAGAGAGCAGGAGGCTAGGGTTGCCCTCGGCAATGGAGGAAGCCACGCTTCCTGACTGGACTAGGCCTCTACTCCAGGCTACAAAGTTTCAATTATAGAAGATAAATACATCCCAACAGAAACACTTCTATTACAACCAATAATAAAACATTACCTTCCTATTAAATACTTAATTTTAGCCCAAATTGTTTGTTTTATGTAGACTAACATTAGTATGATCAGTGAATAATATAAGAATTGTTCTGTCCTTAAAAAATGATTCATAGCCCTGGCAGGTGTTGTTCAATGGTTAGAGTGTCAGCCTGTGAACTGGAGGGTCTCGAGTTCCATTCCCAGTCAAGGGTACTACCTGGGCTGTGGGTTCACTCCCTAGCCTTGGTCAGGAGCATGCAGGAGGCAATCAATTGATGACTCTCACATGGAAGTTTCTCCCTCCCTTCTACTTTCTGTTGAGAAAAATATCCTAGAGCGAGCATTAACAACAACAAAATTATTCATTAATCTTTCAGAACGTGTTTAAATAAAATAAATAACATTTGAGAAATATATACTTTGTTTTGTTTCTCTTAATACCAACTATTTTATTTGGACAGTACATTTAATCTTGGAATTTTACTGGTGAATAAATGTAGCTGGTTATTAATTTTGTGTGCATTTTGTTTTATGGTGAA